CCAAATTAATTAGCTCATCAAACTGAAATGAAAAGCAGTTTTAAAACCCAGCACAATCTCATCATTAATGCATTTTAAATGGTCTGTGCCGCCAGTGACTAAAGCGGTCTCAAGCTTCAGTGAAATCTCGTGTCACCATTTCTAGCCCTCGATGCTAAAAAGCCCCAAGTACCAAGAGACGTGACAAGATTCCAAGTGCACAATTAATCACACAGCAGGTACAAAATGCACCCCAAACGCAGCTTCCTGCACCTGATTCATGCTTTAAATAATACCCCACACAACACAATATTAACAGAGGTCTCTGCATCATACTGTCTTGATTACAAGACCAAGAAGCTCGAGCAATCTTACAAGGTAATGCTGCAGACTTTCATTTTGAGATATGGAACTAGAAGCGCTTTTTATTAACATGCTTCAGAATCCTGGTGTGAGAATGAAATATAGGCATTTATCAGGCATGTGTAGACCTTATATGAATTTCTGCTAGCATAAGCTAAAAATGCCCACATTTAATGATACCGTATTTTATTTCATTAAAGTTACCCAGAAGTAAAAACGAGGACTCGTTCTGGGTATGTGTGCTGAGTCATGTCCGACTCTTTGTGACCCCATGGACATTATTCTGGGTCTACTTGCAAACTAATCCCCCAAAGCTCTTCTTAAGTGAGATGGAGTCTTTACTCCAAAAATTGGGCTGACACCAACTACCTCCACTTCTAAACAGTGCTTTGATTTCTGAGGGTTTTGAAGGTGGACCCTTCAGTTCGTTTTGCAGCCCTGCGCTGAGTCACCAAGGCCCCAAGGAGACTCTGGAGAGAGGGTGCCGGGGAATGAAGCAGTGGCTGAGGAAGGCTCCCACAGGAGGGCCAGCACCCCCAGACCCCAGGGACAGTCAGGACCACCAGCAGAGCCAGCACCACAGACCCCAGGGACAGTCAGAACCACCAGCAGGGCCAGCATCCAGACCCCAGGGACAGTCAGGACCACCAGCAGGGCCAGCATCCAGACCCCAGGGACAGTCAGGACCACCATCAGGGCTGGCACCCCCAGGCCCCAGGGACAGTCAGGACCACCATCAGGGCTGGCACCCCCAGGCCCCAGGGACAGTCAGGACCACCATCAGGGCTGGCACCCCCAGGCCCCAGGGACAGTCAGGGCCACCATCAGGGCTGGCACCCCCAGGCCCCAGGGACAGTCAGGGCCACCATCAGGGCTGGCACACCCCAGACCCCAGGGACAGTCAGGACCACCAGCAGGGCCAGCATCCAGACCCCAGGGACAGTCAGGACCACCGGCAGCTCTGGACTCCACTTCCCCAGGGCACAGTGACATCAAACCCGGGCATTTGTGGGTCACAGTGGGAGCTGTTTTTAATGCATATATATGGGATCTAGAAAAATGGTATTGATGACCCCAAGGAAGGAATGGACACACAGATGTGGAGAGTGGACTGGTGGACGCTGCGGGGGCGGGGGGGGGGTGGCGGCGGACAGAGGGTCACGAAAGGAGAAGGTAGCATCGCCATATGGACACCATCAGGCATCAGGGGGACAGCTGCAAGAACCTGCTCTTCAGCCCCAGGAGCTGGGTCTGTGATGACCTGGAGGTTCCGGGGAGGGGAGGGGGTTCCAGGGAGGGGATGTGTGTGTGATTATGGCTGATTCTCACTGCTGCATGGCAGAAACCAGTACAACGCTGTAAAAATTAAAAATTAAAAAAAAAAAAAAACTGAAAACTAAAGAAGTATGCCACCACAACAGGGCCTGTCCTGGGCAAGCTGAAATCCACGGCTACCCCCTTGAAAATGACCCTATGAGCACCGTGCGGCATCCTCGCTAAGTGCCGGGCACTGGAGATCCAGGTGGAACCAAAGCCTACTCTCAGCTTCAGGCGTGGTCCCGTCCTGACTGGCAGGCAGGCCGCTAGCTGGTCTGTCTGGACACGGCCCCGTCCAGTCTGAGCATCCATCCTGGCAGGCCGGGAACCAGCTCTACCTGTGTGGGGCCTGGCTGGGCCTTGCTGCTTGTTTCGGGGTTGTTTGTTTTGCGGGGGGAGGGCTATGCTGGATCTTCCCTGCTGCTCATGGCTTCGATGAGTGTGGTGCGTGGGCTCCTCATGGCGGGGGCTTCGGTTGCGGACCGCCAGCTCTGGGGCACTTGGGCTTCCGTAGCTGAAGCACCGGGGTTTAGCTGCTCCGTGGGATCTTCTGGGAGCAGAAGTCAGATCCCGGTCCCCTGCGCTGGGCAGGCAGATTCTTAGCCACTGGGCCAGCCGGGAAGGCCTGCCGTGAATCCGTGGACGCGCGGCCGGGGTCCCTTTGGGGGTGGGGGCCCATCCTGCGGGCGGGGCTTCTTTGTTTCTCCGGGATGCTACGGTTCTCGCATCCGCAGTGCTGCTGCGGGGTGGGCCCTCAGCCCCATCCCCTGCCTGCCTGGCCGCACTGCGTCCTCGCCCAGCTCCCGGCTGGGGCTCCCTGTGATCGCGGGGTACCGTTGGCACCCCGGTTCCTAGCCGTGCAGAGCCCCGCTCTTGCACGACCCCCAGGGGCTCTGCTGTGCGGGTCCCCATTCTCAGCTCGCCCCTCATCCACAACCAGGCCTGAAGTGAGGTACAAACGGGAGGGACGCTCCGCCGGACATATGAACGCGGAGGCGAGGGGCCACGCCAGGGCAGCCTTGCCCCTTCACGAAGCGGGCACAGTTGGTAGAAGGGCATGTTTGAGGGGGAGCAGGGGTTCTCGGAGACGGTGTGAGGCGGGGTCAGGGGGCTGATGGCAGGGCTGTTCCAACTGACTGTCTCAACCAACCCCCGGGGAAGCTCCTCCAGCAATCAAATCACCCCCTCCCCCCATGAATGTGCACTGTGGCTCTCTCTGCAAGTCTAGACACGACGTATTATACGCAGATGACATAATCCCTATCTCCAGTGTCACCATCAACCATCTAGGACTCTCCCCCATCACCTCAAAACCCACCTCTTCCAGTTCAAAAATGTCAACTGCTGCTGAGTAGGTCTGCCGTTCATGGCATGTGAGAAAGGCACCTAGCAATTAGCTGACCTGAAAGGTTATTTTTAAATCTGATTTGAGGCATCTCCTCCTCCTCCCCCAACAGGATGTAAAGTTCACGTGGGTTTCCTGGAAATTATAACGGCAACACAGAAATCGCATTCTCTGAAAAGAGCTGGAGCTTCAGCTGAGCCACGTTTATTCCAATTATCTATTTGTTTTTCAAGTAATTTGGTTGTGCTTTTAAAAGCATTCGTGTACAGCGGTTTTTAATTTAATAAGACTAGAACTTGAGAACAAGTGCTTTTCAAAATAAGACAGGATTAGGAATGTGCGGAAGGCAACTTCCACACAGCCTGCACCGGTCCCCACCCCGGCTGTCTCCGCTCTCCCAGCCCTCCAGCCCTGAACGATAGTGGCAGGCCTTGAGTTAGGTCGTGGAGTGGATGTTTAGTGAACTGATGCTCTTTATGAATTGTTTGAGTAAAGAGCACATTTCAAAAAGGATGGAGAGAGTCAAGTGAGGCTGGCGACTAGGATGACCCCTGGCCTGGGTGGGGTCAGAGAGGGCCGGATGGAAGTTGCCTCCCCACCCCCGCCCCGGTCACCCAGCTGCGCGTGGGGGCCATCGGGTCCCGACGGCCCACCCACACCCAGCGCTGCCCAGGGAAGGGGAGGTGGGCTGAGCTCTGCCGAGCAGCGCCGATAAACAAGATCCCTCTGCAGCCTCCACGCAGAGGCAGGGGCCTGCCATCCCAGCTCAGAGGTCGGATGTTTGCCCGGGGCAGATGCCAAGCCCCCTCCTCCTGCGCAGCGCAGAGCCGGCCCTCCACCCCAAGGCCCTCTGAGCGGCGCTGGAAGGCTCCAACACGCCTGTGGGGGTGAAGCTGGCTCTTTCCCTCTCCCCCTGCCCCCGCGGGGCATCCACTCTTCATCCCCAGGGCCCCGGAGCTCCGCACCCAGCACCCCCGTCCATCTCCCTGCAGGTCGGGATGCTTTTCTGCACTTGCTGACCTCTGGGTGGCTCTCTGTCCCCCTTGGGGGCCTGCGGTTCTTCCAGCAACTATCACAATTCCCTCCGACTAAACACTCAAGGCGAGTCCTGCTTCTCTGTTGGGACCCCGAGGGACTCGGTACACGAAGCTGTAGCTCTGAGAGCACAGTCCGCTCCCAACGCTGTGTGGCCGATCCCCCGCTCCGCCAGGCCCCTCTGAGTGTGGCCACAGCCCAGGGGACTGGCTGGAGGCGTTGGCAGGGGCCAGTTTTATAAAATGAGGAAAGAAATAGCGTGTTAGTCGCTCGGTCGTGTCCGACTCTTTGCGACCCCGTGGACTGTAGCCCACCAGGCTCCTCTGTCCAAGGGATTCTCCACGCAAGGATACTGGAGTGGGTTGCCATGCCCTCCTCCAGGGCATCTTCCCAACCCAGGGACTGAACCCAGGTCTCCCACACTGCAGGCGGATTCTTTACCAGCTGAGCCACCAGGGAAGCCCTGGGAAAGAATTACCTGTCTGTCCTTAATTGCTTGGAAGGCTTGGTACTAAATGTGAAAGTACCACGGAGGCTGACTTTCCCAAGACTCTTCCATCACCTGATGGGTCGTCAAGTCTTAACCACTGGGATTACTGGTCAGTGCAAAAGGAGCTCACAAGAAATGAAGCCCCAAATTAAACTCGTGAACCTAAATGGGTACAAATTACACAAAGCTTCCTTCTAAGCGCTCTCTGCAGGCTCACAAACGCCTCTTTCTCCTGTAACAAGAGGGAAGTGGGTTGGCTGAAGGTAGCCGCGGTGTCTGCACACGGCCAGGCCGTGTGGCCGCCACGCCCGGGGCTGACTTCCCCACCACAGCTTCCCGTGCAGCGACCCTCCCCTGGGCTGAGAAACACAGCCCACGGCAACCGTGCCTGCTGCCCGGAACCACCGCTGAGGGCACCCACACAGCACAGCCCTGCCCGCAGAGGTTCTGGAGGCCCTCACCAGAGGTCACATGGACGTCACGTGGCTGGTCTCAGCACTCCTGCCGTCATTAGCATCACCAGCCTTCTCTCCTGCAGTGAACGTTTATGAGGGTTTGGTGAGCGCTTTCTCTTCCGCCGCATCCTCCCCAGACAGCTGGCCTCCTGGACGACGGGCCTCACTTCCCGCCGCCAGCCAGCGTTGCTGGCGGATGGCTTGCCCACCCCGCTTCCCCTCCCATTCTTTTATGTCAATTCTAAACACGTAGGAACCTTAGTTTCATCTTTACTACCATTGTTTTTTTAATCACACTTGTGAAAGAAAAAATTGTGCTATCATGCCACATATTTACATAATCATGGGCTAATTAAAGAGCTAATGAGAAATACAGGCTCTGATTTCCTATCCTGTTAGACTCTGACTCCTATTGTCTGCTGCGATTACAAACTCGAGTGTTTATGGGGAAAACAGTGAGTGATCTCTGGGCAGACAGATGCTCTCCCTTGGTGACACCACTGGAAGGGGACAGACACTCTGTCTAGTTTGCTGCTGCTGCTGCTAAGTCACTTCAGTCGTGTCCGGCTCTGTGTGATCCCACAGACGGCAGCCCACCAGGCTCCCCCGTCCCTGGGATTCTCCAGGCAAGAACACTGGAGTGGGTTGCCATTTCCTTCGCCAACGTGTGAAAGTGAAAAGTGAAAGTGAAGTCTCTCAGTCCTGTTGACTCTTAGCGACCCCATGGACCGCAGCCTACCAGGCTCCTCCATCCATGGGATTTTCCAGGCAAGAGTACTGGAGTGGGTGCCATTGCCTTCTCCACTGTCTAGCTTAGTGGTGTCCAAAAAGTGTGAGAGTCACATACATAATGTAAATTTTTCTAGCAGCCACCTTAAAAAATGCACACACAAAAAAACCAGATGAATAAACTTTAACAATTCATTTTTATTTAACCCCAGATACTACTATTTCAACATGTAATTGATAAAGACATTAAAATCGTTTGCCTTCTTTTTTCATCCTGCACCTTTGAAGCCCAGCATGGCGCACACGTAGAACACAGCTCAATTCCGACAGACGGGGTCCCAGCACTATGATCACTGGCCTCCAGGGCCCTCAGATCAGACAGGGCAGGTCGAGGGGACAAGCTCCTTGGTGAGAGGCTGCTGCTACTGCTGCCAAGTCGCTTCAGTCGTGTCCGACTCTCTGCGACACCATGGACTGTAGCCCTCCAGGCTCCTCTGTCCATGGGATTCTCCAGGCAAGAAGACTGGAGTGGGCTGCCATGCCCTCCTCCAGGGGATCTTCCCCACCCAGGGATCGAACCCAGGGCTCCTGCATTGCAGGCAGATTCTTTACCACTGAGCCACCAGGGTACCCTTGATGAGAGGACCCTGTTGCATTTAACCCCCATCCCCTCACCTCCTCTGAACATTTCCAGTCTGGTGCTTTGTCCAAAGGAAGCATGCAGCCAATGTCATCACAGAACTCGGGATCAATGGCTGGAAGAAGGGCTGCCATTCATAAAGGTAGGCAAAGCCAACACAGGTATCTTGGAACAACATTTTGTGGGTCTTACACTTTTAAAAATTACAAATGAACATCCTTGCTAAAACGTTCTCTCACCCTCATATCACCCCCAAAGCCACACTATACACAAGGAGAAAAGCGAGGTTAACTAGCCTCCAAAAAACAAAAACAAACAAACAAAAGATGAAAACGGGGGTGGGGTGTGTTTGGGAAGAGAGAAATAAAAAATGGCCCTAATCAGATCTCCATAATAAGTGACCACGATGAATTATCCAATACTATTTAAATTACCTCACAGTCTGATATTATGTAAGAAGCTGTGATGCATGCTAGGACACAGACATGACTTGAAAAGGAATTGAAAACTAAGATTTCAACCAGGAAATTTGTGACCAGTGATGACATTTTTCCCCCTTGGGGTTACTAAAAGCATATTTCACTTGGAGGTTTAGAGGTTTAATACATGCAAATTACAGCTGCATTTCACCTAGTTGATACAAATTAACTTGCTCAGTCAAGATAACCACTTTAAAATAATCTGTCATCCCCAAAGGCCACAGAATTGCACTATTTATAGCACTACAATACAGATCAGACCAAAGGAAGAAGACAGCTCCTTCTGACCTGTGGTATAGAAATCACACACAAAGGGACTGGGGTCCCTTTGGGTACTAACTCGGCCATCCCACAAAGGATGACCCAGACTGCAGACTCCTCACAAAACTCCAGATATGTCCCTCCCCCTCCGGAGAAGGAAACAGGCAGCCTCAACAGAAGTTTGTAAACTGCGGAGTACCTGGTTTCCCTATAGCTTCCTATAGCTCAGACAGTAAAGAATCTGCCTGCAATAAAGAATCTGCCTGCAGTTCAGGAGACCTGGGTTCAATCCTCGGGTCAGGAAGATCCCCTGGAGGAGGGCATGGCAACCCACTCCAGTCCTCTTGCCTGGAGAATCCCATGGACAGAGGAGCCTGGCGGGCCACAGTCCATGGGGTCGCAAAGAGTCAGACAGGACACAGTGGCTAACACCACTACTATCTGAACACCTAGTATCTTCATTAAAACTGTGAAATGACCTTCTAGGGAAAAGTCGACTGGTACTAAAGACACTTACTTGGAAGGGGGCTTTCTCTGGGAAAGAAAGAAAATAAAAACTTCTTTACTGTGATGGGATTGGTTTTGCGAGTCCTAAATACACTTTGACCAAGTGGATTCAAAGGAAAAGCCTCTCAGTGTCCGGGCTCTCGGGTTCCAGCTCCTGGCTTTGGGGAAGGGGAACCACGATGCTCCAAGTACAACAGTCCCACGGCCAGTCACTGTTCTCCACCTTTGGTAAAAAATCCTCATTTAACCAAACTTGATTCATTCTGTTGTGCCTAATTTCCATCAGATCCCGGACTTGATGAATCCATGGTTCTCTGGCTACTAATAAAACACCAGGGTTCAGCTAGTCCTTTACAAGACTGTTACAAAACACACAGCTAGTAGGTTCGTTTATCTGGCCAAGAACTGGCATAGAATATGTACTTCTTCAATTGTTACATTCAATTTTAATTTTCAGTCTGGTTGAAAGTTATTTGTGCTGCCCTTTACATGCAGATTCAGAGCGCTTTTAAAAATCTCCATGATGGCAACTTTTGACCATTTCAACTCCGAGGAAAAGAAGTGGCAAATACATGAATTGAAATTCATATCATTACTTTCTTAAAGATTATTTTTGGGCTTATCAGTTTACTTTTCTTCAGAGGCAGTATGTGCCCCTTAAGTCATCTGAAAAACTGCTGGCATCTTCTGAATGCTATCCAGAGTCAGTTTTTCCCATATTGTCCAATTCTAAACACAGATCTTTAAAGAGCTGTATAGCCACTTGAGTGGGACCTCTGTTAAGAAATGTCACATATTTTTCATAATTTGACAATGCTGATGACAGATTTCACATTGCTGACAACCTGTCACTTGCTGTAATCATTAGTTCTGTACCTGAAGTTGTGACTTTCATTCACTGGTAAATCTTTGCAAAGAGCGTGCCCTGAGCCAGCATGGCTGGGTCCTGGGTCACCCACAGCATGCAGCGCAGCCTCCTGGGCACTCTTGGTGCCAAGGGGTGATGTCCTGTCTTTGAAAGCTCTCCTTCCAGGGAGCCTTTCTGCATTTCAGACCAAGAGTATCAGCATTAACCACCTGCAGACCCGCGTTCACGTTCTGGCTCTGCCTGGTAGGCGCTGACGACCTTAGATACCAGCTCCGCCCCCCCTTGGCCGTGATGTCCCACCCTCACACAAGGATAACGATTCATTCCACAGGGTTGCTGTGAGTCCAGTTTGATAGCAGAGGGAAAGGGAAAGAATCCGGCTCTCAGAAGCGCCACAAACGTCAGCCTCCTCCCTCCCATTCCCTCTTAGAAACACAAGGCTTTCCAAACTAAATGGACACTCCAGCTTTGAAGCAGAGTCAGAGAACATCTTAAAGAGCCAAGTCAAACGATTTGGAGTTATACGCAGAAAGGGCTATTCTAACCTGAGGTCCTGTCCCCAGCTTGGGGCCTGGCCCAAGGGTCCCTAACACAGGACCCTTTCTGGTCGATGGTCAGGTTCCTGTCGGGTCTGCCCCGGGAGCTGTGAAAGCAGTTCCACCAGTCCGCAGATACAAACTCAAGCGCCGAAGGGCAGAGCCCGTCCCCCCGGGGGTGACCCCCTCCTGAAGAACCGCAGGGTCAGGGAGGAACGGACGCGGGGGACACCACGGCGCCCGGCCCAGAGCTGGGGAGTCAGTCGGGCACCTCGTCAAAGCCCGCAGCTGCTCCAAGATGCGGACGCGACTGCCTTCCAGCTCCGACGAAGGACCCCGGGGCCGCTCTCTGCCGCGACCACGGTACAGCTCCGCGCCGCCGCCCTGACCTCTCTCTGACCTGCGGGCTCACTGACCTCCTCAGCCTGGCGGAGGCCTGCCCGGGTCCCCCCGCACCCCGCCGCCTGTCCCCGTGGCCCGACGCACCCCGCTTCAGGGGTCAGGGCTCCCCGAGTCCTGGCCCCGCCGCCCGCGGGGGCCAACCCCTGCAGGGCCGCGCCGACTCGCGGACGCCGCGCGGGGCGTCAGCTGCCTCTCCGGTCTGCTCCGCCTGGCGTCCCCGAGGGGGCGACCAGGAGTACTGAGCGCCGCCCCTCAGGGTGGCTGGGGGCTCAGCTGCCTCCGCGGAGCCCTCGGGAGCGGCCGCTGGAGCAGGCCCGCACCCCGCGCGCCGCGTCCCCACCTCCAGGCAGCCCCCCGGGCCGCCTCTCCGGGCACAGAAAGTGCCTTCCCGCCCCTGCGCAGCGGCTGCTTCAGGCCTCCCGGCAGGGCCCGAACTCTGGCCGCGCAGAGCCAGCAACCCAAAAGCCTTTTCACACCATCCAGGTGTGGAGTCTGCAAATTCAGCACCGGCGCGGCTGGAAGACTCAGCTCCCCAAGGAAACGCGCGACAAGGGACACTCCTGGGCCCAAAGTCTCCCTCGCCGTCACCCTTGAGCGTTTTCAGGGGTGTGATAGTGAAAGAGTGTGCTTGTCAAGGGTATTTTTAACGCTACTTTGGCTTTCAGTTACTTCAACAAACAACAGTTCAAGCATCACGAGCCAGGTCCTGTGGAAGCATCAATACCAAAACCTCACAGGAGAGGTGCCAGAAATAACAGTCCAGAGGCCTGTGATGAGAAGGCAATACAGAGGCCCGCCCAGGGAGCTGTGCGCACCCGGAGGACAGCCACCCTTCCCAGCCTAGAGGTCCACAGAAGCTTCCTGAAAGTCAAACCTGCTCAGACGCGTCCAACTCTTTGCGACCCAATGGACTACACAGGCCGTGGAATTCTCCAGGCCAGAATACTGGAGTGGGCAGCCCTTCCCTTCTCCAGGGGATCTTCCCGACCGAGGAATCGAACCGGAGTCTCCTGCATCGCAGGCGGATTCTTTACCAACTGAGCCACAAAGGGAAGACAACTGAAACACTTAGAGCCAAAGTTCTGCATGCTCTGCTGAAGAGAAGCAATTAAAGACATTCTATGAAAGGTTATCTTTGCCAAAGAAACAATCCTATGTCCAAAAATCGGCAGTGAACTTACCTGCCCCTCTGCTTCACAAAAGCAATTCATCTTAGCTCCTTTCAATAATCTCTTTATGCCTGAAATTGCTAGGGGTGGGTCTGGTTCTTAAATCATACCCCGCTTTTCCCTTACTGATGACATCCTCCTCTTCTTTCTGACTTTTCATGTCAATTATGGATTGAAGTTACTCTCATGTTCTCATGTTAAGGAGATAAGAAGCTAAGCAGATTTATCCAAAGAGGTAAATCCTGAAAAGAGTCACACAGAAACAGCAAACTCTAACACTGCCACCCACACGGAAAGCCTTAGAATAAAAAACCCAGGGCAATGATGTATTATTTAATAAAACCTTTCTCCCCCCAAATTCCAAACTTTACAACCAATTACAAGTCTACTAAGCAAAATCAATAGGTGAAATAGAAAGGAAGAGCTGGTTAAAATAGCTACTGTAAGTTACTTTTATTCTTAGACTTATTAGACCTTTATTGCTTCTTCAAAAAAAATCATAATTTTGAGAAACAAATCAGTTCTTTATACAACTCCTCATTTCTTTTAAAAAAAAGTTTCAACACCTGTCAATGGAGCCTTATTATTAGAAAAGAAACTCTCTCCATACACGTAAGTATGAAAAGAAATAAGAAAATAGCTTTTGGCAGAAACCAGAGAATTATCCCATTTCCTGTCTTGGTTGTAAATAACAATTTACCTAAATGGTTGAAAATAAACAGCTTTCAGATGTTGACTCAGTGTCTTATACGGAAAAGAAGTGGCGTCTGCTGCTGACCCGAGATGAGGTATAAGATCATTACGTTAGAAAATGCGACAAAGATGCCATAGACGCCTTCGATATACCTCACGTTAATTAAGAAATAAGAATGTGCTCAAATAATATCTTATAAACGTTTTGGAATGCTTTTTTGGATAAAGTATAGAAAATGAGAATTTCTCTCTCTCTATTAAAATCATCTCAGGTTAGTCCCTACTAGCGTGATAAAGTGAGTGGCCAGTGGTGGACAATCGGGGCCACCTCATTTGGTTAGAGCACAGTCCTAACGATACTGAAGCTCTTATTCCATTTTATGTCCATGGGAGCCACTTAGCTCTGCTTTGAACCATGACTGCAAGTCACAGTCGCCCTTTCCAACATGGCTGGGCTTGTTGCAGATCCTAAGAAGAGGAGGTGAATTAGAGACCGGATCTGGACAAGTCAAACCCTGAACAAAACAAAAAGCATCCTTTCACACCATCTAGGCTGCTACAGAGACACAGGGACACCTGGAAGGCAATATGCACCAGTGAAAACAGCTGAATGGGAGAGGTGAGACCTAGAGGGATCATTGTTCAAACGTTCTTTAATACACGCTTCACGCCATCTTTGCATATGCTAAGTCATTTCAGTCATGTCCAAGTCTTCGTGACTCCATGGACCACAGCCCACCAGGCTCCTCTGCCCATGGGATTCTCCAGGCAAGAATACTGGAGTGGGTTGCCATGGCCTCCTCCAGGGTGCCATCTTTAAATGGATGGCCTAGTGGCTCAGAGGTTAAAGCGTCTGCCCGCAATGCGGGAGACCTGGGTTCGATCCCTGGGTCGGGAAGATCCCCTGGAGAAGGAAATGGCAACCCACTCCAGTATTCTTGCCTGGAGAACCCCATGGACGGAGGAGCCTGGTGGGCTACAGTCCACGGGGTCGCAAAGAGTCAGACACGACTGAGAGACTTCACTTTCACTTTCTCCAAGGTGCCATCTTTAAATGAATACAAAACATTTTAAGACATTTAAAAAAATGCCACTGCTATGGAAAAACAACTCAAAAGGCCCACTAATGGTAGGTTATCAGATTGGTATCTATACAGAATACAGAAATGTAGAAACGGGTGAAGACAGAACTAAAAATATATTCACAGATTAAAGGAAGTTTATTTTCCTCATTGAATGAGGAAGGGTGGATTTTATTTTTAGAAACCTCCATTATGGCTTTCTTCTTTTTAGTTGAGTTTTTCAATTTTCTAGTAAGAGAACAGGGAGCCTGGAGTGGCTTCTGTCCTCTGAGCAAAGGAAAGGGGAGAAAGCTTGTCACTGACGTAGAAGCATCAACTTTATTGATAAAGGAAGTCACTTTTTCCTGCGCCAAGAGGCTCACAGGTAACAAGTAAATTACCCCTGGCAGGCTTGGCCAGGCTGCCCCCGACTCCGCTTCTGACACCTGCTCTTCGGTTCCAGACGACAGAAAACCCTCTGCAGAGATGTGCATTTCTGCCTTGACTTTGGATCACACTCCTGCGTTTTGATAAATGCAGTAGGTCCCAACTGCTGCATTCATGATGATAAGCACCACCCCCTCCACCCCAAACCAGGAAGAGGAAACAGGAGTGGTGAGCCCTGTGCATGCCGCGGCTCAGAAGCACTCACGGAATCCTCAGGGGGTAGATAACGGTTCCTAAAAACTTGCAGAAGTCTCAATCAACTGGTTAAATGAAAAAGAGGCCAGAGGCCAGATGAAGTCAGAAAGGCACCGATGGGGACGGGTCTCAGTTTTAGTCTGCGGGGAGATCTAGCATGCGGTGCAGTCCCCTCGATCCACAGAGGCTCAGGCAGCAACTTCTGGGCTGGAACTTTCTAACGAACATGAAAGCAGGTGTTCCTCTGCACCCCTTCTAGGGTTGGAAGTGTTAACCAGAAAACATACTCTTAGAAGTGTGCACCGTGTCTGCTTACACATCTGAAGTGGCGTAAGGCTACAACAAAATATAAAAGGATAATTTGGAGTAAAGAAAACAGAACATCTAAAGAGACTTTAAGACAAGATGTCACCACACACCTGAAGTGAATAAACTGCTGTAGTGAGATACTACATTTGGGGGACAGAAAAGTTACAAATGGCAATTCACAGAGTTACTCATATTTACCGCCTAACAAAATGAAGCAAGCAAAAGTGCCTGCTAAGAAAAACTTTCAGAAACTAAATTCAAGACGCTACTCATCATGTGTTTCTTGCATCAAAAGCACTGGGAAATAAAGTGGATAGCAATTACTTTCCTACTCAGGAAAGAGAAACTTTAAAAGTTAATCACAACTAAATTAACTTTCAAGTATGGTCTCTGGCCATGCTGCAAACAAAACACAGCTCTTTCAGAAAACGTACCCATGTCTGAACCAAATAACCAAACTCATAGAACACTTCATTCCTTTTTTAAAATTCCATATGATGCCCCACTAATACCGAAACTACCCATTTTTCATAGACAGTGAAAATGAAGTGTGTGTGTTAGTCACTCAGTCATGTCCAACTCTCTGTGACCCCATAGACTGCAGCCCACCAGGCTCCTCTGTCCATGGAATTCTCCAGGCAAGAGTACTGGAGTTGGTTGACATTTCCCTCTCCAGGTGAAAATGAAGATGGAGATAATCTCTTACCCATTACTAAATAATCTCTTACCCATTACTAAATAATCTCTTACCCATGAGATTATTGTTGGCTTTCTTTTTCCAAACCTTCCATCTAAAACTTCAAAGTATATTATTTTTTTTAAAAAAAACTGATACAAAATTTGTTTAAATCAAAATGGAAAGTAAACTGGTGGGAGGGAGCATGCTTTTGTTTTTGTTTCTGCTACTTAATCTACATATTATCAGTATTATACTACTTAAGTGTATTTCCAACAAATACAAATCATGATTAACTATACTTAAAATTGGTTTGATAAGTTTTACTGTTTCAAAGCTGTCCTTTAAACCAAAGAGAGTTCATATTTGCAAAACCTCCTGGGAGAAGGGAACGTATTGATACAAACTAAGAGAAACAGGAGTTCATGTCTCAGACTTAATTAGGCTTTTCAACCACAAAAGGAATGTAGCTTGTGCCTCCTATAGTGTACAAGTTACATCATCAGGTGATTCTGAAATAATAGCCAAATTTATAAATTCCTACTTGGGCATATAATAGTCCAAGAGGCATACCAGCCCAAAATGAACAAGGCAACAACACACTGCTGAAGACTGTGAAAACAGTAAACATTCCAAAAATGAGACTTCATCATTGCTTCGCATCATGCTTTCTTGACAGGTACTCTCTCTGG